AAAGCAGACCAGCAAACCTCAATCATCYGGAGAAATGAAGGAAGGAGATCAGGCAGAGAGCCACACAAAGGTTTATTTGTCTATAGAGAGGAGAGAGGCCCTGAGATGTTATGTTCGGGTGCTCAGCTTTTGTAGGGTAGGGGCTTGGAGGTGTAGCTGTGGCACTATGGGATAGGCTCGGRGTGCTTAAGTCAGAGCTAGGCTGGTGGGAATAGCATGGGATTGGCTTAGGTGGATGGCAACTTGGGGTTTTCCAGAGCAAAGGGGTCCTGTCCTTCTGGGATTGGCTTAGGGTTATGGTACCATGGGGTAGGTCACTAATGGGGTTGGGAGGAGTTCCTGTAAGAGGAAGTACAGGAAAGCAAAGCTTAAGTGGAGAGTGACATTTAAGTTGGCTGCTCGAGTGTTAAATCAATACTCTATATATGTCTTCTTTTTACATTGTATCTTTACACCACTCTGGCACACCACAGCACTGTAGCTGTCACCTACAGTGACTCATGCACTGTTTTGAAATAATCCTCATGATAGCCCTTTATTTAGCTATAATCATTCTTAATGTATAAATGAGGAAATTTAGGCGAAATATTTCTAGTGAGTATTAGGGAGTAATATAAATTAAGAGCGAGACACCCAGTGTTCTCTCTTGTCAATCAATGCAGACTTAGAAACTAAAAGAACTTGGTTTAGGGCTGGGGTTGTAGCTCAGTGGTAGAGCGCTCACCATGCATGTGCAAGACCCTGGGTTCCATCCTCAGCACCACATAAAAATAAATAAGTGAAATAAAGATATTGTGTCCAACTACAACTAAAAAATAAATATTAAAAAAAATAACATGGTTTAGAGTCTTAAGAATTGCAATTCAGGAGTCATGGGTTCATATAGCTGTGAATCAGTGTTCTGAAGGAGGTAGGGAAGTAAGAGCTGATATGGATGGAAAACTCTTGAATCTCTGACAAAGTAATTAAAATTATTTAAAGAGCAACTCCTGTTGAGCTGGTCACAGTGCAAGTCTGCAGTTCCAGCTGCTCCAGAGAGTGGGAGAATCACTTGAGGCCAACGTAGTGAGACCCCCCATCTCAAAAAAGGAGAGAAAAAGAAGGAATGCTTATTGAAACTGAACATGAATGCAAGGGAATACCCAAGATGATGTTTCCCAGCCTGTGTCCAATACCTCAATGACGACAAATTCACACACACAGACACACACACACACCATGCGAGGGCTACGTGACCGAGCTGTGACAGGTAGATAAAGGAAGCATGGCTTGGTGCCTCTGTAATCTCAGCCTTGTGGGAGCCTAAGGCAGCCTCAGCAATTAAGCAAGGCCCTATCTCAAAATTAAAATAAGTAATCAAAAGAATTTAAAGGGGGCTGGGGATGTGGCTCAAGTGGTAGCGCCCCCACCTGGCATGCGTGCGGCCCGGGTTCAATCCTCAGCACCACATACCAACAAAGATGTTGTGTCCGCCAAAAACTAAAAAATAAATATTAAAAAATTCTCTCTCTCTCTCTCTCTCTTAAAAAAAAAAAGAATTTAAAGGGCTGAAGAATGCACATCAGTGGTAAAGCGCCCCTAAGTTAAATCCCCAGTATTAATAAACAAATAAATAAATAAGTGCATAAACCAAACAGGAATTCCATAAGAGTCCAGTGACCTCTGGCTATGTAGCTAGGGTTTCTGGGCACAGCTTTTTGCTATCAAAAGTTGAGGGGCCCATAGTTTTTTTTTTTTAATATATATATTTATTCTTTAGTTGTAGGTGGACACAATTCCTTTATTTAATATTTATGTGGTGCTGAGGATCGAACTCAGGACCTCACGCATGCTAGGTGAGTGCTTTTCCTCTGAGCCACAATCCCAACCCCGAGGGGCCCATAGTTGATGTTCCAAATGATAGCTCTGACATGCAGAAGTCCTGACTTATTCAAGGTCCTCTGAATCTCTTCTGAAAATTCTTTCACTTTGGAAAGCTTTTAATTGTGCTTTTCCTATATTTTCACACTCCCAAGCCCCCTTCACTCACCTCCAAGCCCACCATAATGTTATACTCCCTCCTCTCATGTTGCACAGTTTGTTTAGCTGGTCGCCTTTTGTCTGGCATTTGAGTTATCGCTGATTTCTTGCAGTGATAGTAATTATCTCATGAAAGATTTTTTTTTGTAATCCTGACCATCCTAGGTCCTCACGTAGTCAGTCTCTATGGAGTCACATAGCACTGCCTAAAAGTAATTTTTAAAAAAGGTAGTTTCAATCTTCATCTTGCCTCCCAAAGAAAAAGCATAGGTCCAGTTCAAAACTCATGGCAAGGATTGGGGATATAGTTCAGTTGGTAAAGTGCTTGCCTTGCATGCACAAGGTCCTGGGTTCAATCCCCAGCACCACACACACAAGAAAAACAACTCACTATAATCCTTGTCAAGTCTGCTTCTCAGTCCCTGATACTCCCCTAGTAACTACTATAGACACAATCAAAGCTGCCAAGATCCCCATAATTCCCATGGAGCCAAAGCCTCGAAGCTCTGCTTCTATCTCCTCACCCCTCCCCCTTGGCTCTCTTATTATAGATCAGTTCAGCTTCTCCTTCCTTCCCTGGCCCCAGCCATTCTGGTCTGGTATCTCTCCATTTATTTCTCTAAGAATCCATCCCAAAAGACCTGGAAAGAAGTCTCCCTTAGTGGGAGGTGGAGATATGGGTTGTGCAGAAACAGGGAACACACACACATGAATCAGTTTTATTCCTGTGGTATTTGTAGTGAGGCTCTAATTTTCTCATTTTATTCAAGGTTTTTTTTCCCCCATCTTTGAATTATAATCTCCAAAGTGAGATTCATGGGTCACTGAATAGATCTATAATAGCAAATAGTTTTAATCAAGAAGTATTCCTACCAATTATCAAAATAAATCATACAGCTATAATGAAGTTGATTTTTCTTAAGCCTTGAAAAAATAAACTTTTACCCGGCCGCCACCAACATGGAGACTTTCTACCGGGTCCCGTTCTTAGGGCTCGAATGTCCCAACCTGAAGCTGAGGAAGCCGCCCTGGGTGCACATGCCGTCGGCCATGGCGGTGGACGCTCTGGTGGTGGTGTCTTATTTCCTCATCTCCGGAGGAATAATTTATGATGTTATTGTTGAACCTCCGAGGGTTGGCTCTATGACTGATGAACATGGGCATCAGAGGCCGGTAGCTTTCTTGGCCTACAGAGTAAATGGACAATATACCATGGAAGGGACTTGCATCGAGCTTCCTGTTTACAATGGGGGGTTTAGGTTTCATAATCCTGGATCGATCCAATTCACCAAATATTCCAAAACTCAATGGATTTCTTCTTCTACTCATTGGATTCGTCCGTGTCCTACTGAGCTTTTTCATGGCTGGGGTATTCGTGAGAATGAAACTGCCGGGCTATCTGATGGGTTAGCGTGCCTTTTGAGAAGAAATCAGTGGATTCTGGATTTGCTCCGGTTGATGAAGTTTTAAAGGCTGTACCAGTCCTCCACTACGAAATGTGGAAAAGAATAAAAAGCAGCAGTAAAAGAAGTATCAAGTGAAAACATAGGAAGGATATGAAAGCTTGGACTAGAATTTCTTGGTATCAGAGACAAGTTTATCACAGTATTTTATTCCTGCTGACCTGTTGTACCAACGATGTTAAGTGTCATTTTCTTAGTTTTTCATTTCGTATATATACTGTTCTTCTAAAATTATAATATTGAATAAAATGATTATTTTTTACAACCCCCTTTAACATTTTTTTGGAGATATTTCTGATTTTCAGAAATTAATGTAAAATCAGGAAGCAAGATCTCTGAGAACTCTTGACAACTGAGAACTCTGGACTGCTGATCCGCTTCACTGATGGTGCTTTGCCTTTAAACAGTGTGTGTGATAGTACATTATTTCACATATGTATGCAAGACTGTTTCCTCAACAGTAAGATATATGAAAGGAGCAGAAATAAATAATTTTTCTAATTAAAAAAAAAGAAAAAATAAACTTTTGCCTTATATGCCCTTTTAGGTAGACGGTATATTATATGATTACAACTCAAAGTCATTATAAGTGTCAGATTAAAGATAACTGCTGGGGATGTAGCTCAGTGGTAGAGCTGCTTGCCTAGCAAGTGTGACGCACTGGGTTCGTAAAAATAAATAAATAAAAAGTTATCGTGTCTATCCACAACTAAAAATATTTATAAGAAGATAACTGCTAAATATCTATATGTGAAATATAATGATATGCAAAAATTCAACTAGCCCAACTTCCCAATTTTCTCTTCTGCAGTGAGTTAGGAAAGAAAAGAGAGGTTCAGACTTTGAGTGAAGTGGTCCCTCAGCTGGTGGATGCTCTTCCCTCAGAGCCTTTCTTTTGGTTTTCATTAATTCCCATGTTCTCATCTTGGTCTTGGGACTGGTTTAGGGTAATCTCTGGATTCTTTGGTTTTTCCCCCTCGGTACTCTTTGTCCCAGGCCCTACCTTTACTCTCCAACCATATCAGTTCATTCACACATTAGTGGGAATTTAACCCAACATACTCCACTCACCAGGGCTCTTGGCCTGTTATACCTTATCTCTAATTGTGATTTCAAGGGTTTGTTTCTGGTCCTGGAGTTTTAAGCACTGATGAGCTAATGTAGGAATTATTTGGAGGGAGAGAAGCTGCCCGGGCACCTTTCCTTGGAATTGTATTTTATATGTGTATATATTGCTTCAGCTTCTGCACAAGGTTAGCTTACTATCCTTATGCAATTCAAGGGCTGAGGGGCAGTTCTGAGTACACACGCTGGCCATGCACGTGGTCATATATATAAATGTGGGAAAGAACAGGTAGGTGGCAAACATGGAATTTATTGACCTGGGAAGAAATACATGATATACATGGGAAGTAAATGACTGAGCTCACCTTCTATGCCACTCTCATTTCTTCCTCATAATAAAGATCTACTATCAGACCACATTGGGAGGTTTCCATGTACGTTTTGTTTTTCCAGTTTGACAAATGGACAGACTCTCAGCGGAGAAGAATCCTCACAGGTCTGTTGGAACGCTGCTCGCTGTCACAACAAAAGTTCTGCTGTCGAAAGCTTCAGGAAAAAATTCCAGCAGAAGCCCTGGACTTCACCACCAAGCTTCCTAGGGTGTTATCCATATATATCTTTTCCTTCCTTGACCCCCGGAGCCTTTGTCGTTGTGCACAGGTAAAGGCAAAGAAATGACATATGGCATTTTCTAACATCAGCCTCCAGAGGCTCTAAAACTAGAATAACTTAAGGACGAAACCCACATGTACGCACACGCATAAAACCAAGCCACAAGCTGGGTGTGGTGGCACATGCCTATAATTCCAGCCACTTGGGAGGCTGGGCCAGGAGGATTGCAAGTTCAAGGCCAGCATCAGCAACTTAATGAGGCCCTAAGCAATTTAGTGAGACCCTGTCTCAAAATAAAAAATAAAAAGGGCTAGAGATGTGGTTCATTGGCTAAGTGCCCTGGGTTCAATCCCTGGTACCAAGGGGGAAAAAAAACAAAAACAAGCAACAGATGCTAGGTCTTTTTTTTTTTTTTTAATATATTTTTAGTTGTAGTTGGACACAATACCTTTATTTTATTTATTTTTTTTTATGTGGTGCTGAGGATCGAACCCAGGGCCTTGCACATGTGAGGCAAACAGTTTACCACTGAGCTACAGCTACAGCCCCTAAATGCTTAGTCTTTATAGTTTGCATGATCCTCTGCCTTATTTGAGTCCAACTCTGTATTTAGTGCTCAAAATAAAGAACAAAGTATAAGTCACCATTAGTGTCCACTAAAAGGTATCAGGTAGGGGCTGGGGTTGTGGCTCAGTGGTAGAGTGCTTGCCTAGCAGGTTGTGAGGCATTGGGTTGGATTCTCAGACCATATACACACAAAAAATAAAACAAAGTTATAAAAAAATCACGTTTAGAAAAAAAGTATAGTTGGGGAGATACATACACATCTAAGAAATGGTCTCTCAACAGGAGAGTCTTTTAATCCACAGTATACAACTATAATAAAATCCTAAATTGTATCGTGAAGGCCATCCATGAAGATAAAAGTGCAAAATAAGGTGCTCGTGAGATAAGACAAAAGAGTAGGAGACTGCCAGGCACAGTGGCACATGCCTGGATCCCATAGGCTTAAGAGGCTGATTCTGGAGGATCACAAGTTGAAAGCCAGCCTCAGCAACTTAGCAAGTGCTAAGCAACTCAGTGAGACTCTGTCTCTAAATAAAATATAAAAAGGGCTGGAGGATGTGGCTGAGTGGTTGAGTGCCCCCAGGTTCAATACCCAGTACCAAAAAAGCAAAACAAAACAAAACAAAAAAAAAAACAGAGTATGAGACTCAGAGAGACCCGAGTGGGCAAGTGTGCTCACAGAAGCCTGGGAAAAGGAGCTGGCCATCATTTTCTTGCAGGTAATTCCATAGTGTATTAAAGCAAAGTTAAATTAATTAAGATGTAAAATGGACAGTTATTTGTTGAGCCTTTTCATAGAGTTTAGTAAAACTAGAAAGTACCTACTACTGTTCACTCATAGATGTGTAATATGTTAATTTTAGTTCTTAAAATTAAGAAAATAAATGCATCAAGAAAGATGTATTATTCAATAAATAGTGTTGAGACACTTGGGCAGGATCTAGAAAACCAATAGAATAAAAGATTTATATGACACCAAAGGAAACCATTCCAGTACTCAGAGAAGACACCTGGAAGGAGGCCTTTGTGAGTATTCTATAATGTCCAGAGGCCTTAAGGAAATGTCTGCTTCGGTCTTGCTTTATGCATCTTATGTTGTAAACAGGAATGGAAAAAGCAAGACTTTAAATTGTGGCTATAAAATTTACTGCAAATAAAGCCAATTTCTTATTTTTTAAAAGAATTCCTACCAATTGCTGGGTGTGGTGGCACACACCTGTAATCCCAGCTAAGGCAGGAGGATGGTGAGTTCCATGTCTCAAAGTAAAACTTTAAAAAGGGCTGGGAAGGTAGCTCAGTGAGGCCCTGGGTTCAATCCTTAGTATTGAAAAAAAAATTCCTATAAGTCTGTATTAAGGAAAAAAAAAAAAAGAGTAACCACCCAGCAGAAGAAAAATGAGCAAAGAAAATCAACAAGTGGTTCACAGCAAAATAAATGCACCAGTAGAGGAGAGGAAGGGGATGGAGAGGGAGGGAGAAGGGGCGGGCTGGGGGAAGAACTAGGGAATGAAGTCTACCAAATTACAAGTGCAATATGTCTGTGTACAGATACACCACAAGAAGTCACGTGTGTGTGTGTGTGTATGTGTGTAATGCACTAATTAAAATAATGATAACAATACTAGACAGGATCAGTTAAGTAAGTGTATGGAGAGGAAGGAGGAGAGGGAAAGGAAAGTTACCAGGGAATGAGATTGATCAAATTATGTAATATGCCTGTACAGTATGGCACAATGAATCCCAGTATGATGCATAATTATAATGCACCAATAAAATTTTTAAAAACTCTTCTACCAAAAATATATAAAGAAATGCAGATGTCTCTGCCGTAGGTGGGATGCTGAGCCTCATTATGACAGGCCATTTTCATCATTCAGATTGGCTGAGCTTTACTTTTTTAAATAATATTCTATATTAGTAAGGGTGTGGGAAAATAAGTATTTTATATATTGTGTGTCGATAAAATGGTACAGTGTCTAGTGGTACAATGGAGAATAACCTGCTAGTATTATATTTTAAAAATAAAATTCCTGGGGCTGTGATGTGGCTCAAGCGGTAATGCGCTCGCCTGGCATGCACGGGGCTCTGGGTTCGATCCTCAGCACCACATAAAATAAAGATGTTGTGTCCACCAAAAACTGAAAAAYAAATATTAAAAATAAAATAAAATTCCTTTTATCCTACCAGTTCCACTTCGTGGACTTTGTCTGATGGGTGTGCTTCAACATGTATGAAAATCATTTCTGTTTAAATACCATTGTGGCATTGTTTGTCATAGCAAAAGGCTGGAATCAACAGAAAGGCCCACCAGTGGGGCACTGGGTAAATAAGTTGCAATGATCTCCAAGGTAGGTTATCAGCAAAAAAAAAAAAAAAAAAAACAGGGGGGGGGATGGGGAAGCACAGCTGTTAGTTCTGCCATTTTGGAAAGAAAAAGTATAGATATCTGTTTATATGTGCCTAAGCTATTTCTACAACAACATACAACAACTGTCTACAGTGGTTAAATCCAGGGCTGAGAATGAGTGGCTGGAGGACAGGGATGTGTGAGACACTGACTTTTCACTCTGTGCCCGTTTGTATCTTTGTGTTTGGTATTACTGTACACACATAACCTATTCTAAAATGAAATAATTTTTTAAAAAGAGAATAGCAATCTTTTTTTTTTTTTTTTTGGTAGTGGAAATGGAACCCAGGAAGCTCTTGACCACTGAGCATATCCCCAGCCCTTTTTATTTTTTTATTTCTGACACAGGGTTAGAGCATCTCTGAATTGCTGAGGCTGGCCTCCTACTTGCTATCCTCTCAGCCTCTTGAGTTGCTGGGATTATAGGTATGTACCACCATGCCCAACTCAAGCATAGCAATCTAAATGTCTAAGAACAAAGGACATCATACAGCCACATGATGAACTATTACGCAGCATTAGAAAATATGTCATAAAAGAACAGAGATGCTGTGATATTTTAAATAAAGAAAACAAATTGTATATGGAGAATTTCCAAGTTTTCTTCATCGTGCCTCAAAAAAAAAAAAAAAAACCTGAAAGGGAAAAAACTCTACTAGGTTGTTAATAATGATTGTCTCTGACTCATGGCATCATAGGTGTTGCTTTTCTTTAAGCTTCTCAGAATTTTCCAAATTTCCCACAAAGAAAGCATTATCAATAGAGGAAATGCTGTTTGGATTAGCTGATTCTCTTTTCTCCATGCACTATATGCCTATCTTGCAAGATCTCAGTGTATTTTATTCCTCTACTGACACACAACATTGTCCTTCAGCTAGATTTAAAGTAAAAGAAAGTCATTGCACCAAAATGAGCTTTGAGCTGTTTTAGAAAAATGGGGCTGGGCTATGTGATGGAGAGATGGGTCTTGATAGTTTTGAAAGCTCCTACATTTTTTTTTTTTAGTTGTCAATGGATCTTTATTTTATTTACTTATTTATATGTGGTGCTGAGAATCGAACCAGTGCTAGGCAAGTGCTCTACCAATGAGCCACCACCCCAGCCCAAAGCTCCTGCCTTTTGACTCTCCTCATTTCTTTCTACCTTTGGGTGGCGGGAGGAAGAAAGGAGAGAGAGAGAGAGAGAGAGAGAGGGAAACAAAAGACAGCTTGGAAACAAACACAAAACAACTCAAGTATCTAGGTCCAAACAAGATCTAAGGAAAACAGGGTGGGGGAGTAGTAATGGAGAGCTTTCTCTCCCCACCCCCACCCTGCAAACTGTCTTTCCATTAAATTCCAAGTTAATTTGCCACATGAAGATTTATTTTATTTTATTTTATTTTCTCGCTAAATTACTGAGGGTCTCCCTGAGTAGCAGAGGCTGCAGTCCTCTTGTTTCAGCCTCCCTGGTTGCTGAGATTACAGGCTTGCGCCATTGTACCTGGCCCTTCATGTAACCTTCATTAGGAGCTTCAGGAACCATTAGGAAGTCTCAAAGTCTACTTGAGCCTCAGTTTCCTCTTTTGCCATGAGAGTTATAATTGTACTTACCTCCCTAGATTGCTATAAGGATGGTTAATAGTGCTCAGTAAGTACAAGTGGACTCTGATTGTAAGTCTGAATTAGTTTTAAAAGTAATCCTCCTGCCTGGACAGGAAGCACTCCTGATAGGAGGTAATTATTTAACCTGTGATTTGGAAGAAAATGACAAAGAAAAAATTAGCTAAGCTAGAGAAAGCGCAAGTATAAACTGAACAGGTTGGTTGTTTTTGTTTCTCATTGTCCTTGTTTTCCCAGGTGAGCTGGCACTGGAAGAACTTAGCTGAGTTGGACCAGCTCTGGATGCTAAAATGCTTACGGTTTAACTGGTACATCAATTTCTCTCCAACTCCCTTTGAGCAGGGGATATGGAAGAAGCACTATATTCTAATGGTGAAAAAACTTCATGTTACCAAGCCCAAGGTAAACTTGAGATGAAGAGCACCAAACTGTTTTCCATATTTTTCCTTTTTTTTGGCGGGGGGGGGGGGGGCAGGTGCTGGGGATTGAACCCAGGGGCACTTTACCGCTGAGCCACATCCCCAGCCCTTTTTATTTTTATTTTGACACAGAGTCTCAATAAGTTGCTTAGGACCTCCAAATTGCTGAGGCTACCTTTGAACTTACGATCCTCCTCCATCAGCTTCCAGAGGTGCTGGGATCACAGTGTTGTGGGTTTTTCACAGAGAGCACAGGGGCTTTCAGCGGGAAGCAGTGTTTATTAGTGCTGGCATTGGCCCAGCAGATTCTCATCCAAAGGCTGAGCCCCAAGCACAGTGGGGCATAGCCTTATATACTCTGTTCCCTTTATGTTAGCCCCTTTGTCACCCCTATAGGATAACGAACATTCTGATTGGGTATTCTATACTCTAGAGTTGTGAAAATTGTGTTACAGGCACACATAGACACTGACTGTGTTATGTTACCTCCCCTTTGTTCTGGGATGGTTCTTACTACCTACAACAGGTGTGTGCTTCCATGCCAGGCTCCCCAATATTTTTTTAACTTAAAAATTTTATTATTATATGAATTCCTTTTATAAATTTGACTTATATGAAAGATCTAGAAAAGGCAAATATGTAAATACAGAAAGCTTGTTAGTTATCTTGGTTTGGAAAGTATCTACAAATAGGTATATGAGATTTTRTTTTTGTGGTGATGAAAATGATTTAAAATAAGACTATGGGGATGATTGCACAAGTATGTAAATATAACAAAAATYATTGAATGTGTACTTAAAGTGATGAATTTTATAGTATATGAATTACATTAAATAGAATATAAACCATTATATATACTTTGTTTTTAACCTTCAGTTAAAATTAACTTTAAATTAAAACTATTATTGTTAAATTAATTTTAATAAATTAATTTAATATTGTCATATGAAGTTTTCTAGTTCTGTACAGCTGCTTGAGCTGAAATATGTTTCTCTCTGAGGCACTCAAGGACACACTGTAAATGGAATCCAGTGTAGTTTACAAATTCCTTAAGGTCCTCTATTTGAATTTGAATTTTTGGCTGCCTGATGCATTTGGAAGCTTGCTATTCTGCTTTTTCTACTATGTACAACATTTATAATAAAGTTCCTGAATCATTTAAAACTTATTATTAGTTATAGATGGACACATTGCCTTTATTTTATTTATTTTATGTGGTGCTGAGGCTCAAACCCAGGGCTTCATACTTGCTATGCAAGCGCTCTACCACTGACCTACACCCCCAGCCCTGAAGTTTATTTGGTATCATTTGTAAGAACAAGTTTTCTAATAAATTGATCATTAGGGAAGAGCACAATGGCCTATTAAAGTTGTCTTTAATCCAGAAAGTTAGCAATGTAGAACATTTATTTTTATGAGTAACTTTTATTACTCATAAAAAGTAAGTAAGGCTGGATATGATGGTGCACACATATAATCCCAGTGACTCAGGAGGCTGAGGCAGGAGGATCATGGGTTCAAAGCCAGCCTCAGCAACTTAGAGAGGCCCCAAGCAACTCAGTGAGGCCCTGGCTCTAAATAAAATACAAAATGGGGCTGGGGATGTGGCTCAGTGGTTAAGTGCCCCTGAGTTTAATCCCTGGTACCCCCTCCCCCAAAAATCACCATACCTATGTTCCTTTCCTCATCAAGCTTTCTGAAATCCTCCATTTTGGAGCAGGGAGTGACATTAAATAGTGGAACTCAGGCTGCTCTGTGAGAAGAGAAAAGTGATTAACCAACTAGTMGAGTGAAAAGGGCTTTTGAGTCTTACATGTAAAAAGAGCACAGTTTTGTCTTCAGGAATAACTCCACAAAATATTTATGCATAACTGTGCTTCAAAATAATGAATAGTTTGGGTGCAAGAAAATTGCCACCTCTCTGCTTGGTATTACATTTCTGCAGGGAATGCTTTGTTCCATGAAACTTAATTTTTTTTGTTAAAGAAATAGTACTAAATCAGAAGTAGGGAATGCTTTGTTCTGTGAATTTTTTTGTTTTGTTTTGTTAAATAAACAGTACTAAATTAGAAAGACTAGGGGGGAGTTCAGAAAATCAACTAATTAACTTGGATTGTTCAATTAAAGAGACTTAACGCTGAAAGAAGTTCTAAAGTTAATAAGATTGTCTGTGAAGTTAACTCCCAGCACTGTACTTACATAACACGTACTGTACTTGCATAATCTGTTTAATTTCCTGCTTCAGCTCTGAGCATGGCAGCTTGGTGAGCTCCAGCAGAGATTTTGAAAGCAGGTTAGAATCATATGGGGATGGTTAATAATAGTTTCACCAACCTTAAAATGAGAAGGATCCTTAAAACTGTCTGTGAGACTACCTATGCTAGAAAACTTAATTTCTTTCTTTTTTTAAATTTTATAGTTGTAGATGGACAGAATGCCTTTATTTTATTTGTTTATTTTTATGTGGTGCTAAGGATCAAACCCAGTGCCTCACACATGCTAGGCAAGCACTCCGCCACTGAGCTACAGCCCCAGCCCCCTAGAAAACTTAATTTCCAGAAGAGTAAAGTAAATCAAACCCAAAGTAAAYGCAAGGAAGAGATAATAAAGAACTGGAATGAATGAAATTGAAAACAGACAATAGAAAAAAATCAACAAAATCCAAGCTGGTTCTCAAAAACATAAATGGAATTGATAAGTTTCTAGCTAGATTAATCAAGAAAAAATGAAAAAACACAAATTACTAGAATCAGGAAGGAAAGACAAAACACCACGACAGGTCCTACAAACATTAAAAGTATAACAAGGGATTATTTTAAAAACCTTCAGGTCACTAAATTCACCAACCTAGATGAAACAGGTGAAATCCTTGGAAAAAGCATATAACCCTGACTCAATAAGTAATAGAGGGCTGGGGTTGTAGCTCAGTGGCAGAGCACTTGCCTAGCATGTGTGAGGCAMTGAGTTCCATCCTCAGCACCTCATAAAAGTAAATAAATAAAATAAATGTATTCAGTTCATATACATCTAAAAACTTTTAAAAAGTAATAGAAAACACAAATAAACCTATATATTGATTTAATGGTATGACTCTACTTYGTGAACAACTAGAYACATCAGAAATTGTGCTCTATGTGTATACTATGAATTGAGATGCATTCTSCTMTAATTTATGACAAATTAGAGAAAATAAATAAATTTTAAAAATAAATAAATAAAATTGGATTCATAATTGTAAAACTTTCCACAAAACTCCAGATCAGAGAGCTCTACTATTGTGTCTCACACAATTAAGAAATGAGACCAATTCAATGTAGCCTCTTTCAGAAAACAGAGGTTGAGGGAAAGCATTCAAACCTTACACCAAAACCAAAATCTACAAGAGAAACAGAAGTGCAGATCGATAGYTCAGTTCCATGAACACAAACACAAAGATCCTTCCAAGATATCAACAAATTAAATCCAGGCCTCACAAAAAGAAGAATACCTGAAAGCCAAGTGGGATATGTCCATGCAAAGTCAGGTTCCTAACAATAAAGAAAAATGACTAGGGTAATTCACAGAATAAMAATGATCACTTTAATGCATATATGCAAACAAAATCATTTAATAAAATTCAACCTCCATTTATCATGAAGAAAAGTTCTCAAAAAGACGTCATCCATCAATAAATGGAATGGCAACAAACTAAAAAGCTTCTTCAACAACAAAGGAAGCAATTAAGAATGTGAACAGAATGCCTRCAGAATGGGAGAAGATGTTGTCACCTTTGTCACATTTGTCTCCAGGGGATATAAAGAAYTCAAAAAAATTTAACACCAAAAATAACAACAACAACAATAATAATAATCCAATCAATAAATGGGCAAAGGAACTGAACAGGCACTTCACAGAAGAAGAAATATGAATAGTCAACATATTGAAGAGATATGAGATATTGATATTTTTTCATATATATGTTGACTATTCATATTTCTTCTTCTGTGAAGTGCCTGTTCAGTTCCTTTGCCCATTTATTGATTGGGTTGTTGTTGTTGTTGTTGTT